TCCCATTTTGTGTCATATAATTTCCAGACTCAAAGATTATATGCAATGACTTCGACAACTATATGGACCGTCTCAAACATATTCCAGACACAAACAATATATTGAAAGAGTTAAAGAAAAGATACCTATAGGTAAGATGGAACGTATACCATTAGATAAGAAAAAATATTGTGAGAGAGGTTTTGAAAAAAGCAGAATATTATAGACTGGAATAGTATATTCTGGCTAGCTATTATATAGTGGTTCTATAAGAGTTCATGACATTGAAACACTTATGTCAAAAGTTTTATATCTTAACTATACAAATGTTTTCAAAGAGGAACATAGAAAAATATATTGAGGGTTATGAGTTTGTGAGATGTTATTGGACAGATTGTATGAAAAAAATATAAAGACAAGGAAAATGTTTTCTTTATAGTGGACCCGCCGTTCTATAACACACATGGGATTTTCAATACCAAGTAGACTGGACTTGAGAGACTCTTTTAGAAACTTTAGACGTTTTACATAACCATCCATGCTTTTACTTTACATCCGATAAAAGTGGTTTGGAAACCGTTATGAGATGGTTAGAGGGACATACATGACTATGAGATTTATATATGACAAGATAGAATATGAGAGAGGTCCTATAAACTGGAGAAAGTGTCATAACAAAGAAATTTTATTAGTAAGTAAATGTGGTTTGAAATCGGACTACTTGTTTTAGGTTTTTCCATTGTGTCATTTTATTTATTTGACGTGGCAGAAAAGTACAGAGAATATGAAGATGAACCAATGCCTGCAAATGTTCAGTATATGTACTCGTAAGAGATATTTTTTATCTATATTAAATGGACGCACAGAACTTTAGCGAATGCACAGCAACCTGGACAACCAACCCAGGAATATTCCAAATGAAGTTAGAATACAAACTGCAATGGCAAACTAATGGTCAAGATGCCAACAGATGTACAAAGAAACTGCCATGTCAAATGACGCTGCGTTAGGTTTGCCACCATGGTATGCAAATATGAGATGGCAAGAGTTTTATACAAACCCTAAGTGGGATATAAACAACTTTATTGCAGAGACGCGAAACACAGGAGTTGACCCAGAATATGTTTCTACCAGAGGAGAAACAGAATGTATGAGCTCCAGTTAAAGAATGCTATGGAACTCAACAGGAAACGCAAAAGGCTAGGCGGACATTAGATTTTACATATAGTAAAATGGGTTTTCTTCAGTAAGATAGGAAACTTCTTTCGAAAATGTTGGAGAGAGGTATATGGAATGGAATAAATCTGCGGAAAGAGGAATTTGGAACGGGTCAAAAATATGGTAAAAGAGTAGGTCAGTTTGTTGGTATTATACCTAAAGACCCTGAACCAGAAGAACAAGCTCCTGTTATACAACCAGCCTGAACCTGCACACCAGAGCTGTGGCAACAAATCCACCTAATCAAAAAAATTATATTTTTACCGATTCGAAGATAGTGTATATGAAACTAAGTCTAAGAAACGCATGTATAATGGAATTATTCTTTTCTCCATCGTAGTACATACATACTTGAAAGTCTGAAATACTCTCACTTGGTGGTTCGTATAACTTTGTAGGTTTTTCGTAAAAGTATTTGCCAAGCATAGAAAGAGTTTTTGCGCACCAGAAAATGAAGCTTTATGTTTGTCAAGAAGAAGTCATAGTGCATTTCAACAATACCTGCAGCATTTGCTTCTATCTCTGATATAAAGTTCTCCTTCAAGAGCTGATGTAGTAATGTTCCAATATTATTGAGGTTTAACGTAGAACATTCATACTTTCCACCAAGTTTATAACATACCATCCATCTCTGTTGTTGAGTTTATTTTAATTTTCTCTAAGAGTCTCATGAAAACCTTACCGAAATGTTTGTGTAAGTAGTCTCTGTTTGGTTCATCTAAAGCTTCGATGTTAAAGTCAATGAGTCTATTGCCTGACTTCACATTTCTCTTCCTATTCTCTTCATCTTTCTTTAACCATCTCTCACCTTCTTTTGGTTTGTCGTCAATGGAACGAATGACATCGTTAGCTTTGCGAACTTGTTCTATAGCGCTCTTAAACATCTCTCTTCTCTGTTGTTTCAGTGTGTCGTCTCTTCTTCTTGTTTCACCAACGTTCGCATTTGTTATGTCAAACATTTCTCTTCTTACTTCATGAGGTACTGAACGTCTATGATATAAGTCAATAGCAATGTCATTTAAAGGAAATACTCTTGCATGAACTTCGTCCTCGCCGCGTTGCGGCTTTATGAACTCATGAATTTTATCGTAACTTATTGCACCATTGTAGTCTTTAATGAAGTCAGCGAGTGCTTTTTTGTTTGTTGCGTAATGAATTGCAACATCTATGTTAGCTTCTGTAAGAAGTTGTTTTATTTCCGAGTGTTCTAACTTAGACAACTTCCGATACATCTTTAGTAGGAAATAAAAAAATATTTTTTGAAAAAATTAGATTAGATTTTTTTAAGTTATTTTTCAAAATAATTTAATATTTTTATTTTAATGAAACACATGCAAGATTGCAAGTTCTTTTCATACAATGCTCTCGCTACTGCCATCAAGAATGAGTTCAATAATGCTTCAAATGTTAATGTTATCTTTAACAAGAAGTTTGTGAAAGAATCTAAGTTTGGTCAGTATGTCAGACCATTAGCTATCGTCATTGACCGCAAACGTTATACTTCACAAGAGTTAGCAGTAGTTTTGAAACAAAAGAGTTTCTTCGTGAATGTCAAAGATACTCATTATACTGTCATAAAGAACTCTAACATTGACTTCTTCAGTATTGCTTTAAATCTTTCCGAACAGAAAGAATATAAGAAGGGTGAAACAAATGTGAAATATTATCCTTCATCTCTGAAGACAATAACGAACAAAGATGTTATACAGAAATTCTTACCAAAGGTTGAAGAAGCTTCTATTGACATTGACGAAGGAAGTGAAATGGTTGAAGAAATTGACCCTGACGTCATTTAAGCAAAAATATATTTTTGTTTATTCTTCATATCGATATTTTACAACAATTCCCCAATGTATAAACTTTTCATACGCTTTTTCATAAGCTTTATATACCTTCAGAAATTTTGCATAATCTTTAGAAGCATTTAGATATTGTTTAAATGCTTTGTATGTCTTCAAAAATTTTGCATAATCTTTTACATGTTGTTCGTTCTCTTCTTCTGTCATGAGTTCCGAATATTCTAAATTCATGTTCTTTCATATGAGATAAAATTTTATAAAAAAATAAAATTAGCTTAGATTTTCATTCTTCCTCTTTGAAGTTATCGAAATATTCTGTTATTTTTTCCTTCAGTAATGGTAAGTCTTCTTTGAATGTAAGTATTGTGCAACCTTTGATGTCATAGTGTGTTTGAGGAAGAGTACTTTTGACAATTTCCTTTATTTGCTCATTCGGTGTCATTGAAATCGGTAAGTTTTCACGATAGAACCAGTTTCTGTCAGATTTATATATCTTAGCGAGGTCGTAAAAGCTTTTTGTTTCTTCTGACTAAATGCAACATAACCATATCTTTATCTTCTTCATTTTCCATCTCTTCAGTATATATCATATACTTATAACTCTTTTCCTTTCCTTTTGGTACTGAACGCGGTATTCTTTTCTGTATGCTTTTGTCTTTGGATTCAATGACTTCATCTTTTGCATGAAGTTTCTTTTCCATCTCTCCACGTTCTGCTTTATATAGTTCATCTAACATCATGAAAATATAACAAGCATAACGAGGTGAAGCCCACATTGCTACAGCGTTTACTAAAAGTCTATGAACATAATAACCTTTCAAACCAGGAGCCAAATTCTTGCGATTTTCGTACGGAATCTCTTCTCTCGGTTTTCCGAGGGAAGCAATCATATGAGGAAATTCTTCTAAAAGTTCTTTTGTCTGTTGGTTTTCAAACCAATGATATGCTTGCTTTGTAGAACGAAGAGCATTCATTATACTTTGCATTTGGTACATGTCATCTTTGACCGAACGAATGAGGCGAAGTTGTTTGTTATATTGTATGTACTCGTATTCTTCATTTATGGCTTCATGAACGATAGCAATTGTTGTGTTCTCTAATGTTGACATTACTGTTCTTACATACAGGATAAAAAAATAAATAAAAATAAAATTAGCGTTATTTTTTCTGAGATAAACACTATTTCTTCACAACATTAAATTTTATCCTGTATGAAATGACTTTAAAAAGATTATTGACTGACTTCGAATACTATCTCATTGACGCACTGACAGACCCTCAAAACTGTGTTGAAAGTTCTTTAAGCTTTAAGATTGAAGGTACGACGCATTTTGTCTTCACTTACGTATTGAAAGAATATGACCGTTATCATAACGAAGTGAATCAAACACTAATAAAATTTGTAGATAAAAAATTGGTTAACAATGAATATTTTAAACGTGAAGACCCAAACACTGCTGGAGATGATGAAGAATACAGACAAGTTATTGAAAAAAATAACGCAAGATTAGATGCAATAGAAAAGAAGTTTAATGAATGTCTTACAAACACGTATGAATATCTTATGCGGTGGGAAGCCAGATGGAAATAAATTTACGTCAAATATGCAATTTATAAAATCTTATGTCGACAGGCTACGTAGCACAGTGGTCTAAGGTGGTGTTATGGGGGGTTAGGGTCTGTGGTTCGAACCGCGACAGCGCCGTATTTTCTTATTTTCTTTGTTTGTCTTGTTTGTCGTGAAAAAAGTGTCATAAAAGTGCTCTATCTTCCACGGGAATAAATAAAAAATTTACTTTATTTCTTCTTTATTTCTTTGTTCCCGTGGAAGAAGGGTTTTGCTGTTTTTTCTGTTTTTTCTCAGCCGAAATCAATGATTTTTTCATTTTGGAATCCTTAGCGAATGAGGAATCTTTTCTCTCGTGGAAGCTTTGACCAAAAATATAATTGAGGTGAAGAGGTGAGATCTCACCTGTTTTTTCACCTGTTTTTTCACCTCTTTTTTCACAAGCGTTTTACATGAATTGTACGATGTATATTTGAAATCCTAAACAATTTCGTAGCTTCTATTTCTTCTGTCAGTATGTCAAAAGTTTTAACAATACCGAAGGTTTCTTTATACTTCTTCTTGACGTCAGACAGAAGGAAATCTTCTGCTGTTGGATAGTTTTTGTTCAGAAATGCTAACATGTCCATTTTATCTTCTGCTGGTTTTTCTGCTTCTTTCTTTAAGTCTGCATAGTCGTTTCGCATACGTTCTATCTCTTTGACGGAGTAGTTATATTTCCTAATTGCTGCTTTACATTTAGAACATTGCGGCATCGTTTTTGCGTTATACATTGAAATAAAACCAGCTAAAACAACTAAAGCGTCAATTGCTCTCTTCATCTCAAACATAGCGGGTCTTATTTGTTCGTTCCATACTTTGCCTCTTCTATCTTTATCTCTTATTTCCCAAACACATTTTGCAACTAATGAAACAAAGTTATCGTAAGTCTTAAACTCCTCAGATTTATATATGTCAGAAATGTTTTTATAAACCATGTCGCAATCTTTGTCCATAACTTTATGGTTGCAATGAAAACCAAGGAATTCATAATTTACTTTACGTATGAACTTCTTTATTTCTACTGAATCAGTAACTTTAACTTCAATTTCGTCGAATTCAGGAATAGTTAGTTTTTGCTGTTGGATTTCAGGCAATTTGGGTAAATGGTCAATAATGTCCTGCATGTCATAAAGATATTCTTCATTTTCTTCATCCTGTGCGGTACAGTCTAAATTACTTGTTAAAAGTTCTTGCTTTATTCTTTGTATTTCTGTTTCGAAAGTAAATGAAGAAGGAATGAAGTTTTTTCATCTCTACTAACATAGATGTTGGATTCATGACTAACGAGTTTGGTGCTGTTGTTTGAATTGTTGTTGTGCCGATTGTTGAAATCATATCTTTTATACAAAATAAAAAATAAATAAAAATAAAACTAACTTTATTTTTTCTGTCTTAAGGAAATTCATGAAAATTCACGGGGTGAAAAAACAGGTGAAAAAACAGGTGAGATCTCACCTCTTCACCTTAAACATTATTTTTGGTGAAAAATGACCAAATTTCATGAATTTTCACAAAAGACCAAAAATAAACGCTTTACATGTATTTTTCAGCAACTTCGTCAAATAATTTTATAGCTTTATCTATCTCATCTACTTCAAACGTTTCTTTACCTTTCATGGGAGCACCATACCTTTTCTCAAACTTTTCAAGTAGTTCTGTTTCTGCAGCTCTCATATCATTAACGAACACAACCTTGACTCTATTGACTGTACTGTCATATCTTTGAGTTATATTATATGTTCTTCCTATCTTATATTCTCTTTGTATTGAAGTCCTTCGGTTTCTGAACGATGTAAAGTAAGCCTTCACTGCAACGTTCTGAGTCGAATGAACCATAAGTTATGAAGTTATATCAACAACTGGGTCAATCCATAACAAAACTATTGGTATAAGACTTTTGTCAATGAGATATGCTCTTGTTCCATGAAATGCTACTGATATCATAAGCTCAGGATTTCTTGTCAAAATTTTCTGAGTTGAAGCATTTCTAACCCAGTCGTTTGTTTTCTTTCCAGATGGTGTTATAATGTCTGACAAAGAATATTTGTTGTATTTCTTTGAGTATCTTACGTTTAAATCACCTATTCTAACCACTTTGGTGTCATTGTCTATCTTTCTAACTGTTTCAAACTCAATGTTTGTCATTACTGTCTTTACATACAAAATAAAAATTTTTCTTAGAAAAAATTAGCGTTATTTTTTCTAACTAATGAAATTCATTATTTTTGTGCTGAATTCAATAAAAATAAAGTTTATGTTAGCATGTTAGATCTAACATTCTACCCTAAAAATTTTTTTTTATTTTTTCTATCTTAAGGAAATTCATGAGAATTCATGAGTTTTTGACGAAGTGCAAAAGTTCACTTCGTGTCATAATGCAAAAAAATAATGCTGAAAACACACAAAATTCATGAGTTTTTGACGAAGTGCAAAAGTTCACTTCGTGTCATAATGCAAAAAAATAATGCTGAAAACACACAAAATTCATGAGTTTTGTGTGTTTAGACCATGTTAGAAAACAGGTGAGATCTCACCTCTTCACCTAAAATATATTTTGTCTGATTTACATCTAATGAAAAAGTTTAGAAGAATTTTCTTATTCTTTCTGGCATATTTTTGTTTTCCAGTACTCCCGCTCTAATGGTCCCAGATGTGTTGGCTTTGACTCTCTCAAGTTCTTAGATGGTATAACATCTTCAACACCTCCTTCATATCTTACTTTATAAGTGTCATCGTTTATGTTGTAGTCAAGTATTTCAATAACCACTCCTCGCTTTGCTTCGTCAATGGTTTCAGCAAGTTTGCCATTACTACTTTCAACTAATTTATGACGAGGATAAACGCAATAGAGTCGTCAGCAGCTTTTATAAGATATCCATTACCTTGCGTAGAGTCTACGATATAATAATTTCGACTTAACCTTAAACGTTTCTTTGTCAACGGTTTGTCGTCAAGAACTACACGAACTTTTGTACCAGGAATGAGGTAAATTGTGTTGAATTTCTGATATTTGTGTTTGACTTCGTTTCTTTTGTATATACTTTTCTTCTTGTTGTTGTGTCATTGAATTTGGTGTATGTCTGTTGTAGAATGTGTTGAGGAATTTATACTTCGAGAAATGTTTTCATTGTTTCTTCGGTAAAGTCTCGCTCTTGGTTTAAATCTCTGAGCGTCCTTATGAAGCGGTTTATGATGCCGAGTATGTTATGGTTATGGTCTTCAGTAGTGTAGTGAGTTATGTTATGCTTAATGAGAAATTCTGTGATTTCATTGCTGAGGTATGCACTGTCTTGGTCTGATGTTAAAGTACTTGGGTTATGTTCTGCTACAAACTTTTGTAAAACTCTTAACACTTCACGAGTTCCTTTATTCCTCATTGGATATGCATATGCTTTACGAGTGTTAACATTAATGAAGATGAGGAATGGGTTATGTCCTCCTTTTCTGCTTTGAATGAGAGTGTCAAATTGGTATGCGTCAGGAGCGTTGGAGTAAATTGGTAAAAAGTAGTCGTAAGGGTTTTATTTTTGTTTGATGTACAACATTTTTGTCAAAGAACCTTTTAACTTCAGCTCTGTTAGTAAATCCCAACTCTTTGCAGCTTCATTGAACTTCTTAAATGACCTCCATGGATGTTGTTCGAATACTTCTTTCAAGCTCATTTATGTAAAGTTAAAGATTTTATTCTAGGCTCAAGCGCGTTCAATGAACTCTATACCATGCGAATACAGTCATAAATGGTGGCATGTAATCTGCACCCGAGCCTGTTGGATTTGTTGTGAAAGTATGGACATGATTTCCTGCGGTTCCACAGAAAATACCTGCGCTTGAATCTACTGGGTCACTTGAAATATCATATCTATGCATTCCCTGTCTATCCGAACCTGCTGCAAGATTTGTATAACCTCTTTTTGTTATTGAATGTGAATGACTACCTGTTGTGTTTGTAGTTCCTGTATGAGTGTGCGGTGGAAGGTTTGCTTCAGTAATTTTCTTCGAACCTCCTGTTTGCTTTGAAGAGTTAGCACAGTATAAGAATTTGTCTACAATCTGCTGCCATGTACCAAAACCTAAACTGTTGCTGGATTTGTTGAGTTCATTGAAGTATAAATAGAGCCTATAGGATATAATGTTTGAAGAATCTGAGTCTTTAATGTTTGAAGCTCTGTTTTGTCTGCTTTCTTGTCATATAAATCTTGAGCAGTGAATTTAATATTATGTTCATCCTTCATGACATAAACATCTTTACATCTAATGTTTCTCATCGTCGTTATGTCGTCATCCGATGTTAAACCTTGTGGAAAGTTAGGAGGTTTACAATATAATGCATCCCCACCAGTTCCTTCAACCGTTCCTTCAATACTTTCTATAGCAACAGTTGTGAAGAAATCATGTGTATGGTTCTTGTCTGCTTTTTTATCTAACATTGCTGGTAGTTCATATGTTTCAAAGTTTCTGACATGACCTTTGATATTATACATTTGTTATTTAAGGAGTTTAGTGTATCTTTTACGCTTGTACTTGGATTCTCTAAAGGTGCACTTGAACCAAGGGTATAGTTCAATATTATGTCGTCTGCTCTAACAGTAGTGAAGGATTTATGTGTATGGTTCTTGTCGGCTTTACTGTCTAATGTAGCTTGAAGTTCATTTATATCGGAGATGCTGTGTTTATGAGATTTCAAAACTTTGTTCATTGCTTCGAGTTCAACTTTGTCAGCTTTACTTTTAATAGCATCTTCAAACGTTATTTTTGACTTAACTCTCAAAGTAAATCTTGGTTCAAACTAATACACCGTTAACATTGAAAGTAGAGGCATAAATTTCACCGGTATAACCAAATGCTTCTGGTGCTTTAGCTACATCATACTGTACAGTACAGCTTATGTCATAACCTTTAGCACGAATGTATTTATATCTTCTTTCATTAACATTTTTTGTCTTCGCTTCATCACTTCGTGTTAAATATCCATGGTAGTCTGTTATAATCTGTTCGTCTGAAGTTATATAATGAACGTGGTTCTTGTCCGCTTTACTATTTAATGTAGCTTGAAGTTCATTTATATCGGAGATATTGTGTTTATGTTCTTTATCTGCTTTTTCGGCTAATTTCTCTTCTATCTCATTTATTTCAAGTTCATGCCTACCACCACCTCCCGAAGAAGTATTTTTCTTCAGCTCTTGAAGAACGTCCACTTCGCCATCTTTGGTGTCAATAATGAGACTTTGAGTTAAAACCTTTCCTGTCTTAATGGATGTTTGTAAACTTCTTCTTCACCGTGTTCGGGGTCATGGTCGTCATCATATCTTGTGAAATCAGAGATGTTGTCATACATTAAGCATATCTGTCTCAAAGTTCTGCTATTTGAAACTGGAACGAAAGATATACAGAACTTTCATCATCTCCTAAAGTCAAGTCTGCTTTCTTAAGTATTTCTTGAATGTATGCAATGAGAACAGAGTACCTTGGAAAATATTCGAACAATATTTCATTAGCTGTTGGTTTTGGTGGTTCTTCTGGAGTTTCTGTTGTTTCAGTTCCTTCTGTTGGAGTTTCTGCATCTCTTGACTTCAATGCTCTTGCTCTCAAAGACCTAAATGTTAGAGCACCAGGTTTTACAAAGGACTTTATAAATGCTTTAATAGTTCCTGGTAAGTTATTGTTAGCATTAAGTAAGTTCCTTATGCTTCCATCATGTACGTCCATAGCACTATGTAAAAAATCTATACTTTTCTTGTAGTCAGCAATAGACTGACTGTGATTTTTTAAAGATTTGTCAATACCTTTA